TCTGCGGCGTCTTGGTGGCCGGCGACGCTGGCGGCGATGAGGGCGTCTTTGTAGCCTACTAGTTTGTCGCAACGGAAAAGGATGTTTTCGTCGCGGTCAAACCGGCAGTGCTCGTGAGCCATGCCGAGGACGTGGCCGATCTGGCCATCGTGTCAGCGGACTTGGAGACGAGGTGTGTTCGGCCGGCAACATGGAGACTTACTTCGTGGGCTACCCGATGTGGCTCGGTGCTTTTCGAGCCCATGACCATGTAATGACGGCCAGCGGTGGTTTTGCGATGATCATACCCAATGCTAGCGTATGGCGCTTCTTCTTCTGCCCCAAGGTGTATTGCAAGAGCGTCCGCGCTTACTTTTGGGTTCCACGTCCCAGGCTCTTTCTTGTCCTTGTAGTCATCGAGGTAGCAGGTCGGATACGTTCTCTCATTTTTATCCTCGTTGCCGTCATGAATCTCCATCCACCCGAGGCAATGGCCGTTCGCAGCACTGGCTGGTGTCTTGATCGCGTCGGCCCATATCTTGAACCCTTTCTGGAGTGGACAATCAAGTTCCGCTTTGGCCTTGGCGGTCGCAAAGCAATATCGAAGGAGACGAATCCGGCCCTTCTTGGGGATGCTGATGGGAGGCCAGGGTTGCGCGATACCAAATTTGAAGTGATTCATGTTACCCTCCTGGGGGCCGATAGAGCCTGGATCGAGGGCGGCAGTTTCGGATCCGGTTCGACAGTACCGATTCGTGGAGGCTAGTACTAATGTAAGAACCCCTAAGAACAGGAGAAATAACAAGGCCATACGCATTGCAACGATTCCTGGTAGACAGGCAGATGAGATCGGTTTTATATGTAGCGGTAATGGTCGTAATTGTCAGGCTGATCCTTATGTACATTTCACTCGACTATGGATATGATTCAGCGTAGACGCTAGGGTCACGACTCCACCAGAAGTGAAACTGCAGCTGCGTAGAAAACCATTTCAGGCCATGATGTCAGGTAGAAAGTTGACGCGATCGCGTGCGCACACATCAGGGACCGTGCGAACGGCTGCACTACCACATCGACCTCAAATTGTAGAGTGCGTGAAATGTTGTAGAACAAGTAGTCGGGCATCTCAAGCTATGTTGATAAAAGAAACACCGGGTGCAATGATGAAGGCTGTGAACCAATTCTGTGAGCATTTTGAGTGAATGATTCCATGTATGCTCTACGCTTGCCATGTGATACCGCGTCATCTACGAAGACATGCCATGTAACGCCAGTCTAAATGCAGTATATGCTTGTGAAAACGAACTGAAAGTGAAGGAAAAGATCGCTGAATGATAATGAGGGTATGACGCTATGCAAGAAACAAAGAAGGGAAATGTAATGCCGCTAGGACTTAGATCTCACGTCCTTTCTTTTCCTGATGCTCCAATTCTTTGACGTACTTGACGAAAGTCTTCTTGTGAACCTACTTGCAGTTAGTATTGCTCAATCTCAACTTCTGACGTGATACGTACCAGACCAGCGTACTTGCCATCTCTGAGCACGCATATATATCGTAGTCCGAGCTTTACAAAGCATTCGTATACCAAGTCCATCGGTGAGTGAACATCCAATGCAACAGGTGCTGGGTCAATATATGGAGTGAAATCACTTGGATCATAGGCTTCTTGCTCTTCTTCGTCTTGGGGCTCACGCCCTGCAGCCCAATCAACTCGCGGTGACATGAGGCAAAGCGTGTTCTCTTCGTTCTCCAGCTTATCGAGCGCAAACTCTAGATCTGGTGCAGGAATGAGGCCAACAAGAACGCCGTTTTTTATGATGGACAGGCCGCCGTCCAGTTCACCTATCATTTGCAGTCCACGTTGCTTTGCACGCAGCTCGACTGCAGGAATGAGCGCGTCTTCTGAAATGTCGATGATATGATCCTGTCTCTTCCCAGTAGTGATGTCGCCAAGCTCGGATGTGAAGATGGGTCGAACTTTGTTATCGAGGAATGGGTACGAGTTCATGTCTGTGAGCAAGTCGTAGATACTGAGCGGTTCAATAGCATCCGCCACCCATTTTGCGACCAGGATGCCGAGAGAGAAAGGGAGTACGTGATCCAGACTACCCGTGAGCTCGAACAAGATGACGGCCAGTGTGATACTGAGACGAGTGACGCCGGTCATTGTTGCTCCAGCAGCCACTAGCGCGTACACTCCAGGAACGACGCATGAACCTGGCGGACCGTCAGGTGAGCACTCTCCGAAGACGCCCAGATGATTGAAGCGTAGAGCAGCAAGTTGAACAGTGTGGCCGATGAAGCGCCCGGCGAGACCGCCTACGACCATGGAAGGTACATAGATACCGGCTGGGACCTTGATACCAAAGGTGACGACAGTCAGAAGAGCTTTGATGACAAATGCGAAGAACAAGGTTTTGAGTACGCTCGGAATATGCTCTAGAGTCGGACAAAGACCGTCGCCGGTGTCTGTGTACGTGTCGCACGGACTTGCCAGTTCGAATAAGAGTTCAGTGACGGGAAGTTTGGTGTATCGGTTCCAGAAACTGATCAAACCAGTCACAAGCGCAACCAGGAAGACCTCAAGGAGCGGATGCTTCTTGATAACGGGTATGCGACGGAATGTTCGTGCCCAGATGCGAGATGCTTTGATGAACAATGCGCCGAGAACACCGCCCACAGCGCCAGTGAAGACAAAGGTCGCCAGTTCAAAAAACTTCCAGTCTAGATGATAACGAACCTCGAAAAGCACGATCTTCTTGGTGCCGTATGGATCCAGGAATTTAAGAGATAACGCAGCCGCCTATAAGCGATTAGCAAGGTCGAGAGGAGGGACTAGCGACTTACGATGCAGCAAAAGAAGGTTCTGAAGAGCGTCTTGGACGGAAAGTAGTAGCTCACTTCCTCCAAACTGAAGAGCACTCCGCCAATCGGAGCGCCGAAAGCTACGGCAACACCACTAGCGGCACTAGCGCTGAGAATCTCCCTGCGTTTGCCGTCGTTGTTGCTATACTTTGAGAATATACGACACGCAATGTTTCCTATGCAAGTCGCAATGTGCACGTATGGGCCCTCCTTACCGAGACTGAGGCCCGATGCAACACTGAGGATCAGAGCTAGCGTCTTGACGAGCAGTGTGCGTACACCCAGGTAACCGTGGAGAACGAAACCACTGAGGATGACCTTGACTTCGGCTACACCACTGCCAGCAGCGGAGTAGTAGACCATGGGTGGCCGTGCCTGGACTTCCTGGAACCTTGACTCTGGGCTGATGCTGCGCTTGCGGTCTTCTTCCTCTGCCTGATCAGAGTATCTCCGGACTTCTGCGCCGAGGTTTTCGTCGAGTGTGGACAGAGAGATGGCTGAAGGGATGACTGTTTTTGTGGTGAGCGTGAGCAGACACGAGGCCATGGAGAGCAAGATGACGGAGAGGACGAAAAAGCCATATTGGGTCTGGACGACGTCCAGCCTGTCATTGCGGACCGCCTCGGACCACTTGAGCCAGTTGTCGCATATCGAGGCACCTTGGCAGCACGCCTTGCGGCTCTTGTTCCAGCCGGTAGTGCAATAGCCCTGCTTCAGATCGAACAGCGTGGTCTCGGTGGTGTTGACGAAGTAGGCGCACACGGCAGTGAGCACGCCGATTAGAGCTACCAGGATCCAGCCCTGCGCACCGTCGAACCACGCGGCTAGGCGGCCCCTGATGTCCTTTCGGCTCCGCAGGGCCTTGACGCGATAGGCGTCAGCGATGTTGTCGTGGACCCAGTCGGTTGACGTGAACTGATCGTACCACACGCGGTTGTCCTGGAAGAAGGAGGCCTTTGCGGAGTGCATGCTCTGCTCGAGGCCCGCCCCCCGCTCGCCCAGGGCATTGACGAGGCGCTGGCTGAAGGTGTGGCCGCCGGTGAGGGAGCCCCGGCGGCTCCGCATGCGCGAGCTGGTGGGCAGCTGGCTGTTGTTGCGCGTCATGCCCGGGCGAGGGGTGCCCGGCGTGGTGGTGGGCAGGCTCTTGTAGGACCTGGCACCCCGCAGATGGGGCACTCCTAGCAGGGCGGTCCGCTCGTTGACGCTGCCCGTCGACCTCGTGAGGTCCGTGTCCGAGGCACGCATCGGGCGCTGGGCGCTGAAGGTGAGCGTGGGCGACGTGGGCGTGGTGCTGCTGAAGGTGTCGTCGCGCTCGCGCTGTTCGGCGGCGTAGTCATCGTCGGCGTCGTAGTCGTCGACGCTGTGGTACGACTGCATCGACTTGGGCATGGCGAGGGCGGTGGGTAGGGAGGCAGCAGCTACAATCGGGGCAGGGGCGGTCTATTAGTGTCGAGGGCAGCCAGAGACATGTCGCCGAGCAGAGGCCGCTATCATGGTCATCCGGAAAACGATGGCGGTGTCACGATGGATATGTTATGGCTGGGCACCATGGCTGCTCCCCACTATGCCGCGGATCCCTCCAGGATGCGTTGTTGTCCTGTGTCCGGGGCGAGATAGGCTCCGCCGCGGGTCCGCCAGCTGTTTCAGAACGGCTTGCGTGTGCAGAGCGGCCAGGCGAACAAAGCAGCAGAAGCAGCAGCTCGAGCAACTCCAGCAGGCAGCGGTGCGCAGCCCTCGGAGGCTGACCTCAGGTGTCTCACCATCGCAAATGGCGGTAGGCGCGTCCCATGTGATTATTGGGGTGCACCCGTGGACGCGATGGTGACGGAATGCAGGGCAAACGGAAGGTGCTAACCCTACACGGAGAAGGCGCGATGCCGTAGCCGCCAATCGCAGCCCCCAGCCCCACCACTACACACTGACGTGCGTCTCGCGGTCGGGAGAATTGGGGGGTAGAGGCTGCCAATCTGTCGTTTCTTATCCGCCCGTGCATCCATCTGCTGCTGAGCCGCTGATCTGAAGATACAGAGGACACAACTCGGGAAAGCCGGTTTCGGAACACCGGGATTTCGCCGAGCGAGATATCCAAGGTACTAGCAGACATTCCGGAAGGTCTGACGACGATCGTGCCTACACCTCTCTAAAAGCATTCAAGATGGTGAGTCCTGCTGGACATTGAGTGCCATTGGGACTACGTGCTGATGACTGTAGCCTGCTCTCTATGAACAGTTTTTCCTCTTCGGAGACAGCATAACCCAAGACTCCTTCTCCCAGGAGCGAGGCTTTGCCTTCTCTGCAGCCCTTCAAGCTGGTCAGTCCAAATATCATCATGTCTCCCGATCACTATCCCATGCAAAACATCTCTTCGTGAAGCTTCCGCGGCGGCCATTGGCTCGGGCGACTGTGAATGGCACTAATGATTCCAGCAGCATACATCAGGCGACTTGATGTAGTCAACCGCGGCTTCAGGTTATGACGTCCTACCTTTACGACCGCACCGACAGCTAACACCATGACAGTGGGTACAACACCCGCCAAGCTCTCCAGATACTGCCCGCCATCGTGCCCCCGCCGGACCAGGCTAAGATTCGGTTCATGGTAAGACTTGTCCATGCTAGATGCAGCCCTGACTGACCATACAGACCATCTTCTTCGGCGCCAACGACTCATCGTTACCAGATGCGCCAAACAAGCAGCATATTCCTCTTGATGAGTTCATCAAGAACCTAAAGGACATCCTGTTCCACCCGCAGATCAAAGCCCACGACCCTCGTATCATCCTAGTGGCTCCTCCCCCAATCAACGAGCATCTGTGGTGGCCAAGAGACCAGTCGAACGGATATGCTAGCGTGACGCGCCTGGCGGGTGCGACCAAAACATATGCCGATGCAGTCGTTCAACTTGGCGCCGAGCTTGACTTGCCTGTCGTAAATCTCTGGAGAGCCTTCATGGCGAAGACGGGCTTCAGCGCAGATGTTTGGAAGCTGGGCGATGATCTACCGGGTTCTTTAGACGTCTCGCAGAATGACAACTTGGTGGAGCTCATGTACGATGGTAAGAGTGTCGCAAAACCTTCCTGTTTTCTCGCCATGCTAACTGCACGTTTCAGGGCTTCACTTGAACCCAGCAGGATACGAGGTCTTCTACCAGGAGTTGATCAAGGTCATCGCAGAGCAGTGGCCGGATCAGGTAAGTTCTGACTGTATGAATGCATATGAGGCAGATACTGACTTCGTGCCTCCACTTTTGCAGTCGCCTGAGAAGCTGCCTATGGTACTGCCGCCGTGGAACGATCAGGAAGCGTGGAAACAGTGGGAGAGTGCTCAGTCTTCTTCGATTTAGCGCAAAAGTGGTAGACATGGTGGATGTGGGCAAGCTTGATTTCAGCTGCGCGATCAAGCGGGGCTCTGGGGAAGTCGTGTCCAATCGGGCGAGGGTGCATAACTCCGGCAGCTTGTGGTTAGCAGCGTCACTCGACGAACCTCAGCTCAGCATCGCGTCAACAGGACGCAAGAATACACCAGCAGTCAGATTTTCCTGTTCCTATTTCCTTTCCTGTTCAAACTTTTCTGGGACACTGTACATTATCTCGCTCCCTCTAGCGCCGTCTCGGGAACCGCCTGATCTTCGGCAAAGACCGCTGTTGCGACCATCGTACCTTCTGCTCCAAAAGTCCAACTAATCACACCGCCCAACACCCAACGCCTGCTGTCTGAGATAGTAGCACGGCCGATATCTCTTCACAGATCTTGCCTTTACCTCCAAATTGCCCACCGAGCACCTTGATAGTCGGCTTCAAACGCACTCATTTCGATTCCTCACAACCGACGACCCAGACCCTCGCACACCGCAAACGCCTACTCTACTAAACAAGAGAGACTGCCACAAAAGAACTGGGCTACTGGGCAGCGGTCGCTCGGTGGTGAAGGTAGGGGAGTCCCCACGGGAAGGCGGGTGTCTCTTTGTTGAGCACGTCACCAAGGGATGAGAGAGTCACGGGCATGGATCCTCAGAGCGTAGCCTTCCAGCCGCGCGACGATTTCTGGCGTTTTCAAAGCGAAATGCTACGTGTGCAGGAGCACCAAGCCGAACTCGCCGATCGCGTCGCCCGCCTGGAGCGCAAGCAGGAAGACGACTCGCGTCTGAAGAACGTCTGGGGGACTTCATCGCCCTTTCCTTCGGTGCTGGGGGGAACACCCCAACAGGGTAAGACGCTTCACCTGAATTTGTGCATCTTTAGCTGAAAACTGTTAGTTCCCCTGCAGCAGCCAACCGCCGAACACTTCACGAACTTCGACGACCAGTCCAGCAATCTCATCGGCAATCTCCAACTTGACGCCGACGAGGAACCCCGCCGTGTAGGGGCCACATCTCGCGCGAACAGCGTCCGCTTCGATGAGACTGCCAATCACGGTCACTGGGCGCATGCATCGAGATCGTCGCTGGATTTGATACCCCGCACTGGTAGCAGCATGGGCGGGCATGTCATGAGCGAGCGCAGCTACTCCCACAAGTCAGACGGAAGGCAAAGTTCTGCCGGCCAGTCGGTGCATTCTATGGCTTCGGGTCGCGCCAACAGTCTCACTAGCTTTGGTCCGACAACGCCTCAAGACGTCCCAGGGCTGGCTCCTGGCTTGTTCATTCTCGGCTCCGTTCCTGCCATAATACGTTGCTGGCTCAACACCAACTTCAAACACGACACGTTGCTGTATGCAGCAGTCTGTTCAGGTTCATACACATCCTATCTGGACTGGTGCACAATTGAACACCTGGGCTTTCAGGATCGGGTCATTCTGGACGAGGACCGGGTTCGCAAGATCAAGCTGTCTGTCTACCTTCCAGAGGCTGTGCCTGTTTCAGCATCTTCACGATCCGACAGCCCGGCGCCGCAGCTTCCTTCGATAGGCGTAGATTTCACCGTCATCGAGGAGCACGACGCTGAGGTGAATCCAAAAGCCATTCAGATTTTCCTTGGTAGCGACATGCTTCGAGCACATAATGCCGACCTCCTTCTTTCATGCAACCAACTGACTCTGTATGATGATGACCGTAACAAGCTTCAGGTACCACTCGTCCGTCCTGAAGATGATCGCGCGTTCAAGTGCTTGCACGCTAGCGGTGCCTCTACGACGGATCCGAACCGCGCTACTTCGACTCTGGCTTCAGCGCATGCGCATCACACAACTCAGATGTCTAGCACTTCACCGACCCGTGAGAGGTATTCGTCCGTGGAGAAATCGAATGGCACAGGCCCAGTGACCAACTCTGAGGATGGCGGGTCAAGTGGCCGGAGGAGTCTCGAACAGCGTCCACAACCAGGCCTCTCAGCGTCAAGTCGCTCTGACAAGGATGCTCAGGAGCCGGGCTCTGTAATTGGAGCTCCACAATCAGGAGCACCGCAAGCCATCTGGAGCAACTGGCGCCGTGACCAAGCGGAGAAGACAAACACGGGCTCTCTGGATTGGGCCAACGTGGGTAAAACCGCCAGCTCAGATCCCAGCTACCAGCGACGTGATACAGGCATCAAAGTATTGAAACCTTCTAAATCCACGCGTACTCTGTCGACGTCAAACTCATCGCCTGTGACCGGGCAGTCACGCTTCTTTGATGATGGAAAGCGCAGAGGCGAGAGCGAAGCAAGCAACCCTGCGGCGGCTCCTCCGGTGAAGAGGAGTGTGTCTGGGGACAAAGCAAGGGAAAACATGCCTGGCCTGTCGAAGCCTCGATCTGCGAATCCAGTAGGCGGTGCCTCTGCTTTCGCATGGCTGAACAGTGGCGGGTCAAAATGAAACGCGATGCGGCGCTTGTATCATACGTAACACCAAACGCCGGACAGAATACAGACTGTTGACATGGCGTCATGAATTCTACACATGCATGTGCTGTGGTTTCCCATGGTGTTGTCTAGGCGATTGTGACATGCGCCAAACACAAACAGATGGTGTTCTGGCAGCTTCGGACACGCGACAGGGGGGAGCATTCACCGCGTCGCCAAGCTCGCTTACCAAGGTAGTGTCCGCAAGGCTGAGCGGTCGGACAGCGATAGTGACGACGGCCCATGTCACGGCGCTGCTCTGATTTTTGCGGACATTGCGCTGTTACCCCTCGTTTGTTCACCGCCGTGCTACTGTGTTTGTGAAGAACAGGCGCCATTGCCCAGGTACTGCGGCCCGCTGCATAGTCCTTGTCCGCCTTTTGCTTGCGCTTTCACCCTCGCTCGTCCGCCCTCTGCACCGTCTGCCCTGAAGCTCTTCGCGGGCTTCACGGTAGGCAATCAGCTTCAAAACGGCCTCCACTAATAACAAGAAGCGGAAGATCGTGGTCCCCGCACGAGACTCGTCCAACGGCGACGGCACGCATTCACCGAATGTGGGCAGCGTCGGTGTAGGGTCCCCTCGCTCCTCCCCGCAACCCTCAGCATCGCCGCCACGCTATCTGCCACCGCACCTGCACGACGAAGTCTTGGTCGACACGCCCGACCCAGGCACCCTCTCGGCGCGCGACAGCTACACCGGGGCCAGCTCCCCCAGCGAAGCCTACGCCAACCTCACCCTCGACAGCCGCGAGGGCTCCGTCACCGACCTGGACCGCACACGCACCACCGAAGCACATCCCCAAAGGCCCCCTCCACGCGCATCCTCTCCCGCTAAGCGCCTCCACTCCGACATGGACGACAAGCCCGACGCACACGGCACGCGCACCAGCGACGCGCCGTCGGCCGCCCGCGCCAGCAAGCCCCTGCCTACCAGCACACCACAGCGCAGTGCACGCGCAAATTCCGTAGAGATGGCTGACGCGCCCGCCGGCAGCAGCCTCGACGGCGACGGCGACGATGACGCCACTGAGCAGCAGGGGCTCCCAGACATCGACGTGCAGGTGACTCGCGTCATGGGCATGATGTCGGGCGAGGCCCTTGTAGAAGGGCAGGAGGGCTACATTATTTCCGAACAGTGGCTAGAGCGCGTGTGGGCAAGGACGTCGGAGAACAGAGGCAGGCCCAACGACTTCAGCAGGAACGCGACCTTGGGTCCCGTGGGCCCTGTCGACAACTCGCACCTCGTCGACCCAGAACTAGCGCACGAGAACTTGGTCGACCAGCATGGCGATGACTTCGTCGCGCTCAGCAAGGAGACAACCATGGGCCAAGACTTCGAGATTGTGCCCCGCAAAGCGTGGGATCTGGTCCTCAGCTGGTACGGGCTTGAGAAGTCGAGTCCCGTCATACGCCGCTACGCCCACAACACGGTACCGGGCCAAGTCAGCGAGGATATTTCTTACGAGCTGCACCCTCCCATCTTTACCATTCAGAAAGTGCGGAAAACTCCCAACGCCGCTGACAGCACGAAACCAGCCGCAAGGTTCGTCGCGAGCCGCTACGAGAGCTTTGTAGCCTTTGTCGATGCTGCCAAGAAAGCCGCAGGCGTTGACCCCAACAACAAAGTTCGCATTTGGCGCATTCTCACGCCCGCCCCTACAGACCAGCCACAAGCAGCACAGCCATCCGGCATATTAACACCTGACGCGTCTCCCCAGAACGGATCTCCTGTTACGCCTGCACCCACCCAACGGCCTACACTCGTGATGGCGGCCGACAGTTTCAGTGCTCTTGCCTTTGGATCAGAGCGTGAGCTGGTCACAGGCAAGGACGAGACGGCCAATGAGACGTTCAACGCGTCTCTGACGCTGGCTGACGCTGGTCTGACCCAGGACCAGATCGTTGTACTTGAGGAGCACGACGACAAGGGTGAATACATTGCCGATACCACCAAAACAGCTTCCAAGAACAAGGCTGGTGCCCTCGCTGGCAAGGGCCTGCAGAGCAACCCCAACAGTGGTAGGAGCACTCCAACGGGAGGCCCCATGACGCGCGGAAGAAAGCAGAATGGCAAAGTTCGTGGCCACGTGGGACTTACGAACCTTGGCAACACCTGTTACATGAATTCCGCTCTCCAATGTCTACGGAGTGTCGAAGAGTTGAGCATGTACTTTCTGAATAACAAATGGAAAGACGAGGTCAACATCGACAACCCCATAGGCTTCAAAGGTGTAATTGCCAAGTCGTACGCTGGTCTTTTGAGCTCCATCTATGGCTTCGACAACAGCTCATCTGTCTCGCCCAAAGACTTCAAACTCAAGCTTGGTAGGGCGAATCCCATGTTTTCTGGTTATGGCCAACAGGACTCTCAAGAATTCGTCAGCTGGCTAGTCGATGCGCTCCACGAAGATCTGAACCGTATACACAAAAAGCCGTACCGAGAGAACCCTGATTCCGATGACAATACCTTCCGGGACCCTGAGGCAGTCAAGCAGCTCGGCGAGGTCTATCGGGAGAACCACCGAGCTCGAAACGATTCTGTAGCCATGGACCTGTTTAGTGGTTTTTACAAGAACACCATGGTTTGTCCGGATTGCGAGAAGGTCAGCATCACGTTCGACCCATACAGCCAGCTTACACTGCAACTGCCGGTAGAGCAGTCTTGGTCCCATACCGTCACATACGTGCCATTGTACGGGAAGCCTTGTCGAATCGAGCTTGACTTTGACAAAAATGCCACTATCAAAGCCTTGAAGGAGTTCGTCGGCAAGCGCTGCGGCGGCGTTCCAGCCAACCGTATCATGGCGTCCGAGGTGTATAGTCACAAATACTATCGACACTTGGACGATGCATCGTCGATAGCGGAGTCGAATATTGGAGCACGGGACGAAATATATTTCTATGAGTTAGAAATGGCTCCAAGTAATTGGCCTGCACCTAAGAAGAAGGGCGCCAAGTACCGGATGACGCTTTCGCAATCTTCCGACGAGGAGATTCCGGAGACCGTTTCACCACTCCACGATCGCGTCATCTTTCCATTGTTCCACCGCATCCCAAGCACATCCTCGTATAGAGCCACGGGGCAGTCTATGGCGCTCTGGCCAAGCTTCATTGTTCTCACTCGGGAGGAAGCCAAGGATTACGACACAATCCTGAGGAAGGTTCTGTCTAGAGTCGCTGGGATGACTAGTCGCAAGATTCTTAGTGAGCTCAGCGGGCCAGAACAATCCCGCCCTGGGTCTGATGTTGTACTGACAACAGAAGAAGATGCGTCGCCAAACGATCCACAAGTCAATGACGGTTCTGTTGAGGGCGAGGACATTGTGGAGGTGACGATGACGGATGCAAAGGATACGCGTTTCGCTCAAGTTGATGAGGCTAACCAGGTTCCGGAAGTCCTTCGGCCAGGTAGCTACATTCATCCGGAGTTCAGGTACGTACAAGCTAGTTCCACGCCAAGCTTGTGACGCAAGGTCGCAGCTCCGGGACCGACCTTGGATTCGCGCAGCAAAATACTGACTTAGAACAGGGCACTTTTCGAGATGAAGCACACAAGAAAGAGCTCAGAGATTGTTACTACAGGTTGGAGTACCGTCGATTATTCGAAGCCACTTGAGCCTATCACCAAACGAGTCAGGATACCACCAGCTCGAGAAGAGTCTGTACAATCGTCCGCTGCTGGAAGCGAAACTACGTCTAGCGACGAAGACGAGGACGTGTCACAGTCCACGATTGTCGACGCCGACGCAGCGATTGATGCCGCCAACGTCAGCAGCGACGAGGAAATGCAATCAGTCGAGCCGGCAGCACAAGAGTTTGCCCGTTCGGGCCGTCAGAACAAGAAGAAGAGCAAGAAAGCGCGGAAGCATGAGCGCAAAATGGAGCGAAAGCACAAAAACAACAAGAACTTCAAGAGTAAGAAAGCAGGCAAAGTGCCAGACCAGCCGAACTACCCTGACGAACCTGACGACGAGTCGGATGAGAGATTGCTCCGAATGGGCGAGGCCCTTGTCCTTGATTGGAATGCCGAGGCCTATGATGCTCTATTTGGCGCCTCTACGACGGACGATGACAGAGGTGCGGACGTCATGAAGAACATAGAGGTTCTCGATGACACAGAGCTTCGCGAAAAGAAAGAGAGGCGCGCAGCTCGTCGCAAAACCGGCATCAATCTTGATGAATGTTTTGTCGAATCTTCTAAGAGTGAGGTTCTTTCCGAAGACAACGCATGGTATTGCAGCCGTTGCAAGGAGAGGCGCAGGGCGACAAAGACACTCGAAATCTGGACAGTTCCTGACATCTTGATTATCCATCTGAAGCGCTTTAGCGGGGCGAGAAACCTGAGAGACAAGATCGAAGATCTGGTTGACTTCCCTGTAGAGGGACTAGATCTGTCCGGCAAAGTCGGTTTCCCTGAAGGCAAGGATCTCACCTATGATCTCTTCGCAGTCGACAATCACTACGGTGGGCTTGGAGGCGGTCATTACACGGCCACTGCTCAAAACTTCTTCGACAAGCAGTGGTACGACTACAATGGTAAGCTTTACCGACCGCATATCCTTTACACACAGTCACATTGATGCTAACTTCACTAGACTCCATAGTGTCTCGGTGTGAATCCGGCCGCAAGGCCGTATCGAGAAACGCCTACCTTTTGTTCTACCGCCGCCGTTCCCCCGTCCCTTTAGGCCCTCCCTCTCTTCAGCAAATTGTAACCGGCGACAACAGCAACCCCGACTCTGATGAAGATGCAGACGACCAACAACTTCGCTCTCGGTCACCGGCGGGAAACGGCTTGCGCCTCGACGATTCGTCCCGCAATGGGTCGTCGAGCGCTGGCGCAGTCGCAGCGGGAGCCGTAGCCCTGCGCGGGGGTGGTTATCCGCACTCAGCAGCCGCGAACCGTCCAAAGAACGGAGTCGCAGCCGGGAGCCAGAGTGACGATGATGAGCTACCATCCTATGGCGACGATGAGGGCTACGCTGACGACGGTGCTTACACGTCCACTCCTTGGGAAATGGACGCTGATCAACCAGCTTGGAGCTTCAGCGGCCTTGGCAGTGCGAACATGGATCGCCGTAACGACTCGGATGATGACGGTGCCGCGTCTGATACCGGAGCGATGGGTTCCGTAGGTGATGGAGAGATGAGCGAAAGGATGCAAGACTTTGATGACGATGGCGGTGTCAAGAATGGCTGGGGTGGTGTCGGCACACCCGTCGCACAGCAAGATGATGAAGTTGCCGAGATCAGGCTCGTCGGCGAAGACTGAGCAGACGAAAATCCTACAATACGCAGGAGGATTCGTGTTCCCCTGAATGGCAAATCATTGCATCTTTCGTTTGAGTGTATAGGTCGCGATCGTGGGCTTGGGAGACGAAAAGGCTCTCGTTAGATTAGATGGATATGACTGATGAACAAAAGGAGGATAGCATGGAAGGGTTGTACATGACGAACGGGACGGGATATCAAAGGTGGGTGAGGGTAATTATCCTCAGGGCGTTTTGCAAACATAGCATTCGTAGGCGCATCCGTAGGCGTATCAATGAAGATCTTGCATCATTCACCATACTATACAGTATCTTGAGATTGAGTCTCCCACGCCGCGCGCTACTCAGTCCGAATAACACCAGCCACGCCATCATCGCATGAACCGCACAGACCCATCCATCACCTCGCGTAGAGCAAGAGCGGAGACAGGGATGCCGGATATCAGGAAGCACTAATGGAGTTGCGCGCAGCCAATGAGCAATTGACTCCAGGGGTTTCTACCACCGGTGTTTGAGGCTTGTAGGTTTGCCAGCCTTGACATTGACGTTCTGGTTCTGCCATGACGCTGTTTCTCCTTTTCCTTCACAGCCTAGCGAACGTGGCGGGCATGGTACAAGGTCCGCGGAGTAGGTATAAACGGTGTATACGGCGCTATAGCGCATGATGGCGTGCGGCATACCGGCTACAAGCGTGATGGTACGCAACGGTTTTCTTCTTGAACGGGGCGGTTGATAAACGATGTGAAACGCAGAATCGGAGGCACGTACCTGCCCCCACAGCAGTTTATCACGCGCTGTACGGAAGGCAATCGCGTCACATCCTCCAGAAGCCCCATTACCAGTCGCAACACCAGTATCCTCGCATAATTACCAACACAGAAAGCCCATGGCGTCCCTGAAAAGATCGGGGTTCTCTGGCGCAGGAACAAAAGCGGGTAGAAGCGATATACAGCAAGGATGTATATTATCAATAGATCCAGGTCCGCCTATGACGATCACTCCTGGCCGCATCGAGACAACACTCCGAACCGCATACCCGGAACCTGTACCAATGTAGGAAATGACGATGACGAGCATTTCCTCATGCGAAACTAGGCGTTGAGATTTCTTGTCATGCTGTAAACCAGTTTGTACTCGGGGAGGGTACTACAGGTAATACCACAGGGGCGTATAAGAGGTATCGTGTTCTCGTTGTAATTGACCAGTCTCTACTACGATTCACTCGCTCAGTTTCGTTCCTGTGTATACTTTACCTCGTTCACTATCTTCATAGTCGTCGTAACCACCAACACCAAAATGCGTTTCTCCCACCTCGCCGTCTTCGCCCTAAGCGGCCTATCGCTCGCGAGCCCCGTCGTCCAGCAAAAGCGCCAGGAAAGCAGCAGCGTAGAATCCCTCCTCACCGACCTCTTCGCCACGGTGCAAGTCTACACCGGAGCCATCAGTACGCCACCTCCCCTTTTGAGCCACCAGCCAAAATAAATCACCCATCACCTGCCTTATACTAACAAATGCATCTTAGATGCTACCCTCGCGCCCCTCTCCACATCCTCATCTCTCCTGGAAAAGACGGCCGCAATCCCCAAAGTAGGCGAGCAACTCAACAAGATCACCGCCGCCATCACGGCTTCGACAACGCAAATCCGCGATCTCGCTCCTGCGAACGCTACGCAACCCATGGTGCCAGCCGAAGACAACCAGAAGCGGTCTACCTCTACCGATCTCGTCGACGTCCCTCAACCCAAGGAGAAGCGTCAGTTGATCGCCGCTGGTGCCCTTCTTGCGCTCATCATTGTTGAGATCTTTGCTACGATTACCGCCGCGGTGGCGATCTTGGGTCTCGCTGGGCTTTTGGTGTTTATCAACCCGTTGACGAGCGCGTTGAGTCTTTTGATCCTCGCGGTTCAGTTGGTGCTTAATGTTGTGCTTGTGGGTGTTATTGCGTTGTTGAACAGTGTGCTTGGTGCGTTGGCGCTTGGGCTTAGTGGGTTGTAAGGGATCAGTTTGGTTGTAGTGGTCGGCGGTGTATTTTTAGAGATATAATTGGATTTGTTATGACATTGTCATTCCTGTCTACCTTGGTGTCAGCCCAGTGATGTTTCGGCGTCTTCGAGTGTGAACCTAGAATGTGGTTGACTGATCGCCATCCTGTCGATCCGTTTGTTCGCCGCACTGAGCGCGATAAGCTTGCTGTGACGATTGCACAGAGATCGCTAAGTAGCAGTGATAATTTTAAAAAGAGTCTCCTCATGTGAGTATCGCTATAGTTTGACGTTTAGTGTCATGGTCCGGGTGCGTAGACGTTTTGACGAAGCGTAGTTGGCAGCACGGAAGCTGTTGAGATGTACGTGACTTGTCTCCGTTTATTCTAGATGCATGAAAAGATACTGGTAGACGTCTTACATACCCTTTGTGCTCCTTTGTTGATTGCTCCTTTGTTAATGATTGCTCCTTTGTTAATGAATGATCATTGTGTGGCAGTCGTGGTTGACTCAAGCGAGCCAAGCCTTCCCATTCACAGTTCAGGAAGTCACAGTCACGTCAGCTCCTCACCACTCACAACGACTCATATGAGCGGCAAGCGTCGTTTCTTTATTCTTCAACGGCCGTACAGTCACACCCCATGACTCACATCATGCACCGCTGGAGCAACCCTTCCAGCAACCCATACCTCGCTATACAGGTAACCAACCTCGCGCGATAGTGCACCTCTTAGTTCGCAATGTCGGCATATCTCTTCGCACTACCTAACGAGTTGTTGCTCGATATCACGGACCATCTGCCTCGTCTACCTCGGGACCGACGCGCGGAACTCGTCTCGCTGGCAATGGTGTGTAAGCGCTTTTGTAAGTGGATGCTAGAATGACATCCAGCTTGCCTTCTCACTGACACCTTATAGATGACATCGTAGTAGACGTTCTCCATAAAGATGTGTGCGTCGACATAGCTAAAGTACACAAACTCGTCTCTTTGTATGCCGCCCAACCCAAGCTCGCGCAACTAGTCAGGAGCATTGACCTTTTCTGGGACGCCGACACCCACGACGAGCGCGCTTCCGAGAGCAAAGCTCGAGGGAAGGAACGGGGTATTTATAAGCCTATCATGAGGTCGTCCGGCATTACAAGGCGCCTCCAGCGGATGCTAAAGTATGACTTGCGTCGAAAGAACGTGCAGGCAGACATGGCTCTTCTCCTACTACAGCTCCCCAACATACAGCGCTTATTACTAGGAGAGTTGTCGCATGGTGATATCCGCTTCCTCGATCCAGTGTTCTTCAAAATCTCGGCCTCCACCGCAAATGTAGCTTCTTCAGACGCCCACCGCTGTCGGCCCTATCTGAAAGAGGTTATCAAAAAGCGACTCAAAACGCGGTTGAACAAGCTAGAGATCCCTTTCGGCGGGCTATGGGACTCTGTAAACGGGCATCAGACTTTCGATTTGAGCGAATACGCTCACCTCACACACGTGACCACATGCGTCGATGAACTGATGACGCCTAAATGGAAGGCATGGGGATCCGAGCCTGACTACGAACTTGGCGTATTGCCGAAGACATTAACCCATCTTACGCTCGGAGGTACATGCTGGGACTTTGACCGTCTCCTGACTCATCTCGTCGCACAAAAAGCCACTGGAGTATTGCCGAGGTTGCGCAGCCTCATCGTATACACCCATCACATGGGGCAAGAGGGCATGGGAGCTGACCACGCAAAGTCTCCCCACCGTGCGCGATTGGATCACACCGCTACGCATTTCCAGGCATTCCAAGATGTCGGAATAACAGTAACACTAAGACACACCGGTCCAAATCATATGCGTTACTTCTGTCGGCTGAACATGATTGACACCGGTTATCGGTCTCGTCATGTGCTCAGGCGGCTAGAACCTCTAGAGATGCGAGGATACTTCGAGCATTGGCGGCATCGAGCGACTGATATGGAGGTAAGACGACTAGCGCATGAACGTATGCTGGAGCAAGAGGAGCAGCCAGAGGCATGTGAGCCGAGTACACACGGAGATAAGAACTCTTGTACCGATGTCGGCGAATATAGTGAGGCTGAATGGGATGAACTCGCAAACCTGGCCCTCAATGACTGAATAGATGATCTTGACATCCTCCAAAATGTTCCTTGGTTCGTTTCTCAGCACAGAAGCGCCTCTTACAGCCGATGATATCACAATCTCCAGTGTGCACATGTTCAGCATCGTGTCTTTCCAATTCCCTTTTCGTGAGCAGCCTGTTGTCATTGCAAGTCATGCATTTGTGTATCAGCACTGCTGCCACAGCTTTCTGGGCGTCGCCTGGCCTCGGTGGTGCGCAGGGATCGCGCCATCGAATCTGGGTTGTAGAGGCTACAAAGAAGTCATCGAGCCATTGCGGAGACCTGGGTGGTGACGATGTATGATTCGAAGTTGCCCCGCGGTTGGAGTTGAATTGGAATGGAGCATGGGGCTGAAGGTCCGTTGCCGCGGTCGCAGTCGCGGTCGCAGTCCCCGTGATTGTGGTACTAGACGCCGGAGAAGCCGCAGCAACATCGACCGTGCCGCATTGCATCCGGTCCTCTGGAGACACATCGTCATCTCGTGCAAGCATCATACTTGGTAGTGGTTGTGGGTCCAGCAGCGCAATGACGAGTTTCTGGTCGAAGCTGTACCTGGGTAGATCGACGCCATCTCGCATAGAAACGATCCAGACGATTTCATCCTTCTCTTTCGAGCTTAGCATCTTCGTCTTTGCGACTCTGGTCATTGTATTCAAGAAGTACTCGCTGATAACAGTGAAATAGGCTCTTTGAAAGATGCTCTGAACATGTTCTGGTACCATGTTACGCATGTTGAGCATGAACTCGCCCATTTGACGCGTGCACGCCATGACTTGATCATAAGTCTGCGTCTGTGAGATGGGGAAAAGGCCTGCAGCCCATGTGTGGGAGGCATCATTGACGCGCCTTACATGTCTGCCTGAGATCTTAGCGACCAACACTGACATGACCTCGGTACGAAGCGGCTCTTCGAAAGATTCCGCCGCTCGGACGTATGGCTGAACACTGTCCGCATCTTCGCATTCTGGGTCGGCGCCGCCATTGACAAGCATTCGGAGACGCGGAACGATATCAACAGCTGGGCAATCCGCAATGCACTTCCCCAAAGGACTGAGGGCGCCATGAGCTGTGCTGTTCGGATCGACGCCCTTCCCAAGAAGCACTTCAACATCGCGTAGCGTGTCGGTGGGATGTCGTTTTGCGTCTGGACAGCAGCCGAGAACCTCAGATAGGAGCGAGGTACCGTCGTTCGTCGGCGTAGGTACAAAGGTGTCAATGAGCCACCGCGCAAAAGTTGGAGTCGAATGCCACAGCGCTTGATGCTCAAACTTGTCCCGACACAGAGACTTGCAAGGATAACCTCCCAAAAACGGAGGGAAGCTAGCACCCTTGCAAACAAACAGCCGGAGACATTCAAGCTCGTCTGAAGAAAGCTCGGCAGCCCAATAAGGGCGATTCTGCAATGCCATGATGAACATGCCAAAGTTTGACTGGGCAACAAGTTCTGGAGGCTTGCGGTGAACATTTGCCCCAGCACTAAGAAGCATTTCCAAAAGCGTGTGGCAGTTCTTGCGTGCCGCAGGGTCTGTGTAGATCTTCATTCGGTGTAATAGGCATAGTTGCAATGCTGTGTGAACACCAGGCTTCTCAGGCGATGGACCAGCATCTTCGACGCTGGCACCTCGGTTGAGAAGGATGCGCACGATTTCAGGGACATTCCAGAAGACTGCTTGACGTAGAGGAGTCCAGCTTGAACCTGGAAGTCCATTGACCTCTGAACGACCAGGTTGGAGCAGTGCTTGAACAGTGTAAGTGCGTCCGTTTTTGATGGCATTATGTAAGGCCAAGTCTGTTCCAAGTGGATGTTTGGAACCTTTTGCGCCGTAAGCAAGTAAGACCCAGATGATCGGTCCGCAAGGCATACCGCACGCAATATCGAATACGGTCTGATTTGGATGCTGCAAGATAACCATCTCGCTCAGAGCAGGGTGGCCAACGAATCGTGCGCCTGCTTCATCGAAAGGCAGACCAATGAAATGGTTGATGTGATCGACATTGTCGACAATAAGCTTCTCCAACTTTTCCAAATCGCCGTCTAGGACTGCACCGACCATGTCTAGTACTATGTCGGAGGCTTGCCTAGAATCTTGCGACGATGTCTCTTCGAAGGATGGCCGGAGACTACGATATGGTCAATACACACTGAGCGCACGAATCTGGGATGATCAGAGACCTACATACTCTTGTGGCTGGTTCAATAGACCCAGAAAAATTGGCTCTGCGACCGTCCCGGCTTCATCGGCGATAAGAGTGGGTAGACTAGCTACAACCTGCCAACCACCCGTCTTTGTACAATGCTCTCTGGAAGTCGAGTCGATTGAAATGGGTTCAGCGAAATCGCTTGACTCGTTGTCGTTCCCAGCGTTGCCATCGGAACTCTGCTCGCTGGGAAGCCTCGCTTTGTGACGCGACTTCGTGGCTTTTCGCGGTTTGTGCCTCATGATACCCCACTCTTTCAACCTCATCCGATATGCTCGTGTCCTGTAACACTCGTCAGCTATCAACAGACGATAGATCATTATCTTTGCAAATACTCACGAAGCTCGGAATTTGTGTTTGCGTTCCATGAGCTCCTTGACCTCTTCCAGAGGCTTCTTCTGGATGAAAGAAAGCTCCTTGATCTCATCCTGCACCAACTCCCAGTCTTTCGTCATCCTTATATACTGCGGCCTGCAGGCCTGGTATTGCACCTTCGGTGGGCAATAGACACTGGTCAAGCACAGCAGGAGTGCGAAGGTGCGGCCTCAAGACCGTGCGCCGGTAGCTAGCCAGGATAGAGGGAAGAGCCTATGAGACTCTAGTATCGACGCTAGATGCGGTACTAGGACCGGTGCCAGAGAAGTCATTGTGCGATCCTGGAGACATGTCGTGGTTATAACAACACGCACGAGGGGACGCGGTGTGCAAAAGTAAGCCTGAATCCAGCTGACGGAACGCGAGAGTGCAACTCTAAGGCTTCGTGTCGACTAGGTGGTGGCGTGCATGGAGTCCAACGCGAATTGAGTTTAGTGTATGCGGCACAGCCTCCGGCCTCGAGCCTTGGCTTGGCGCCCCTGTGTCGATATCGCTGATAATCCTAAGCTCTTTCTTACCCTGTCGAATACAACAACGCGTAAGAAGCAGATCGCATATGTACCTGAGGGTCGAGAAGTCTACAAAGCTTTTATTTCATGCAGATTGCTGTCTTTCGTACCATCGTAGGCTGCAGTAATATTCATTGCTGCGACCTACGTACCTAGGCGTATTCATGTCGTATCAAAACGCAGCAAAAAGGTCATCGAACCGAGTCCAACAGGAATAGCTTTTGTGTCAGTTGCAGGATCGCTGCGCGCCATTTCGTTGTAGACACGCTAGCCAAGATCGCCAGTCAGAGCACTCCCCATGTTTGCGATCAAACAGGCGGAGCTAATACTTATCACTGCAGTCACGCCGTCATGCTGCATTTTGGTGACGTTGATCAAGTCACAGTCGACCATCCACTGCTCAAGGAATGCAAGTTGCGATTAACAAAGGTATCATATGTACGAAGCGACGCTAAAACAGCAAACAAAAAGCCATAGTCTGATCCTAACGACCACCAATCTGGCCCTTGGGAAGAGGCTTTACCCACATGAACATGCAGTTGAGCGCAATGATCATGATGCCAATAATCCAGAAAACCTGCGCATAGTCCGTCTTGTGGTAGCGGAAGATGATGGCGAAGATGATACCACCAAAGTTACCAGTCGCGCCAACGATGCCGGAGAGGATGCCTTTGGAAATGTTAGTAGGTCTTCTCTCAAATGAGTGAAGCAATCGGACTTACCATTAGCGTGAGGGTGGATGTGAGGTACGAGCGCGAAGTTCGCACCATTACCCGCCTCAAGGAATATGGCCATGACCGCAATGAGGCCGATCATCTCGCTGAGGTTGTGGGGATCCACCTTTCCAATGACGATGCACATTATACCAGACATAACGCCAACGAAGTGGATCCAGAACTTCTTTGCCCAGAGGTTGCGACCGGTAACCTTGTAGATAAGATCCGCAATAAAGCCACCGAGCGGTCTGGTAACAACGTTCAAGAGACCGAACATAGCTGCCCAGCGTCCAGATTGTGTTTGACCAAGGGACTGGAAGTTCTTGAGGTAATAAGCACCAAGGATAGAGTTGATAGCGAGTTCACCGCCGAAGGAGCAGAAGTAGCCCGCACAGAGCATCAGTGTCTGGAGAGAGAACATGACCTTCAGTCCCTCTTTCAAAGTAGGCTTGACTACGACTTCGTGCTGGAATTCGTCCATGACTTGAACATCACCACGTCCAGCCTCTACGTCAGCGGCCGGTTGCTCTCGCTTCTTTTCGTCGTTGGAGGAAATCGATCCAGTGGTCGCAGGCTTGTCATCGAGGGCACCGGTCGTGGGGACCACGGAAGCTTGGTTGGTTTGATCGCTGCTAGACACTACGGTTGCACCACGCTCAGACCACTTTCCGGTAGGCGTATCGTCGGTCAACAGCAGGAGACCGGTAGCGCATGCACTGATCATGATGAATGGAACGATGAAGGAGACTCTCCATGCGACGTGCGAGGAGAGACCCTGGTCCCTCTTCAAAGAGTCGTAGATAGCGGGCATGACGAAGCTGAAGAAAAGTCAGTGGAAGCTGCTTCATAGGGGACGTCCCGCTTACTATGTGATACCGCCGCCAGAGTTACCCCAGCCTCCGACCAAAGCGTTGGCAGTGCCGACAACATTCCTGTCGTAGAATCCAGTTGTCCAGACCTGGCATGGTACGAAGGTGCCGCCGAGAATACCAACAAAGAAACGGATGAAGTATAAACCCGTAGCGTTGTGGGCAGTACCAGCCAGAGCGGTCGGGATGGCACCGGCGAATAGCAGGCTGGCAAATGTAATGCGCGGGCCGAAGTGGTCGCACATGGGTCCCGCAATGAAGCGGACCAAAAGTGTTGCACATAGCGCGACGATGTTGGAGTTGGCAATTTGATCTTGTGACAAATGCATGTCCTCCTTGATACTCTTACTCAGCTGTGGGGATGTTAGTCTGTACAATTCGGACAGTCTCGTGGGTTGCGGGTGACCATACCAGAGGTGGAAACGCGTACCTGAAAATTATTAGCACTCATCAACGAAGGAGACCCACATGTGGGGAACGACATACCATGACCAGAAAGCAATGAAGAAGCCCAGGTAAGAGAAGAAGAATACACGACCATATTTGTTGATCGGATTCAAGACGGGAATAGATGTGGCCTTCTTGTTGTATGGGTTGATCTCTGGTGCCGACCAGAGCATGTTGATAGCGAACGGCATGATGAGTACCACCCGAGAGGTCGAGCCCTACTACGATACTGATACTTCTAAAAGGTAGGTCGGGAGAGTGTAAAGCTGGCGATGCTTTACAGACGCAATATGGAAGTTGGGAGCGGGCGCTTGCTGAAGCCGTGGCTCCAAACGGAAGCTGGAGGTTATATAGATTGATGCACAAACTCCAAAAATGATACTTCCGCGGTGAAGCACAGTGACGCACGGCTAAGGTTGTGGCGCAACTCGTTCCCCAGGCCAAGTGAGATCAGACTTCTCCGTGTCTGTATTCAGTAATATTGGCGGATTCGTTATCTTCGTTGGCGATGCCCAGCAGCTGCAAGCCCAATGCTTCGGAGAAAGTATGCTTTGCCGCGCTCTCGGGTGCAGGCGATGTGTGCGATGAGCGCTAGGGCGTCAACTTGAGATCCACATGCTGTTGTAGCGAATTGAGACTCTTTCTCGACTGGCTAAAATGTAGCATGAAAGGCTGAATGTCGATGCGATGAGTCGTGGTTCGCTGGGGATGAGGTTTGACGCGGGATGGTGGGGGACGGCAGGGGCGTTCTCTTATCTCTTGGCGCTAGCCAGGCGAGAGACTAGACTCACTGTAGTCGATGCCAGCAAGGATCCTTATCAGAACGTCTGGAGATAATATGAGTTGCTGCTTTTCCGCGGTCAGCATTTGACAAAATGCCTGTGTCGCTAATACCTCTTCAGCCTCAACGGTTCCTGTTCCTAGTACGAGCATACTGTTCGTGTCGAAGAAGTGGCGTTGACAAAAACGACTGGAAGTAACGCAGCAAACAACAATGACAACTCAAGATCAAGACTTACTCTTGCTTCTGGAAAGTAGCTTTGCTTTTGACTTCTGGTGATGGTACAAACTTGGTGTGACGGGAGTTGTGTGTCTGCCGCGTGCGTGTGGAGACGTGGCCCGATAAGCACAGAGCTTGGTGCAACGGCAGCTGTACTAGGCATGTGGGTGGATTCGCGCCGTTGCACAACTCTTACAATCCCAGCTTGGATTTGAGATCGTTAATTGTTTGTCGATCAGCTCCTGTCAGGATATTGATGGCCTGTGAAACATGCTTGCACCAATCAAGCGAAGATTCAGTGCCTTATCTCGCATGACTGCAGCTTCCGCCCCGGCAACACGGAGTACGCACAGGGACTCTTGGAGCACATCGATGATCTGGGAGGGTATATGATCCTCAAACGCCTAGAGTTCAGTGTAACGTCATCCGCTCCTTGGTAACTCAGTATTTGACTCTCACAACGCCAAGGCTCGTCGATACTTGGAGGCCAACGCTGGATGGATGTGACGACTTATCCCAAACTCCAAGAGGTTTTCGCAAGCGGGGGTTCTAGGCCTAGATCCTGACGTACGGTGGCTGCTACAGTCACTGCAGCGATATCGGAGGAAACGGGCCGGAGAAGGCATGTTGGGTACTGAGATGCTGTGCAAGAAGACGAAGCAACTCCGGGAATATCGAAAAAGATGGTAGTGTAGTGTGGGTAGGCTCCACAGTGGGCTCAGCTGCAGCCTTTTGAGCCTCATCCGCGGAGATCCTACGCTCGTCCTGAGAAAGTGGTACCCAGCCACCTCGTTCCTCGACCTGTCATCACACGACTTTGACTGAATACTTTCCGAACACCTTGGTCAAAAGTTTCGGGCCATACGGAGGATTTCGAAGGGTTAGCTGCTGATGTGAAGCAGGACCCGAGGATGTCTACGTTGTTAAACACTCCTGCGCGCTGTATTCCCAATACTTCCTCGCCATGTGCACACCCACCCCGTACATTGCAGCGCCGCACACCACCAGCACATGCATAAGCTGATGGCTACTCCCAATTACGTCGCAACGCCGAGGGTACCATCTCTCAGGCACTCTCGCAGCGTACAACAAAGCTCCGGTGCCATGACAAACGCCTAGTCCAAGATAGTAGCCCAAGCTCATCCTACTATCCATCTCTTCCACGCCATAGACGTGGGTACCATGCGCTATTGGAAGGAAAGAAGACGCTCCCAACAGGAGATAAAGCGCCGTACGGAGATGACGAGACTGAGGACCAGAAAAGGTGGGGTGCAGAGTAGTGAGTGCGCAAGCAAGGCCCACGACAGTAGCGAAGATACTGTAGGCTTCCTGTAGTACAGGATCGCATTTGAAAGTGAAGTGTGTACTGGCAATTGTCGTACCATACAGTGGTATCACGATACCAAGGTAATCGAATCGACCCGTCCAGGTGCGAACACTTTCGCTGTGATCGAGGAAGATGTGGTGTCTATCAAGCGTCAGTACCATCTGTTCTTCAAACTCAAGGCATGAGGGTTGAAGATGAGTATCAAGAGGTACTTACAAGAACGAGAAGAAGAAGCACGCTATGACAGAGGTAAAGTAGACGTAGACAGCTTCATCGTCGCCGCTTCTACTGTACCTATCTAGGTGACTCCGACGAGCAGACAGGTAGAACACGACAGCGACCAAAAAGAAGGCAACGGTACCCAGGATATGTGACCAGATGTTGACTGTCTCATTGTGGACCTGGAAGACGCCCCTGAGTGAGTGATGGTAAGAGAACGTTGCTTGTCTAGTGACTATTAGCCCCAAGCCGTGTGCCGTCTACGACGCGGAAAACGTACCGGTGGGATGTGAGTATGAACTCGTTGTCTCGCTGCCAGGGCACTGCGTTGACGCCGTTAGCTCACGACGTTCCTAGTATCCACCGGGAGTTGCGCAGAGTCGAACTCACTGAGATCATCCCAGCCTATCAACGCATCGGAGTTCTGGGTTTCATCCGTACGATGAGTCTCCTTACCGTCCGCGTCAAATTGAACATGTCGCAATGTCGTTGATGTTCCATACCCGTCGCCATGGTTGCTTCCCTCCAAAATCCCCGCTTTCTCTCTAGCGTCTTGGCGTGTCTGTGATGTCATACCGCTCAGCTCAACTGAGGCTGATGCCGACTCCAACGAATAATTTCTCGATGTTTTCAAGGTTTTATGAACGGGAGAGCGATCTGAAAGTCGATGGCTAATGCTTTTGTGCCGACAAAGACATGCCCTACTCAATAGTCACCCACAAGTTTAACCACCAAGCCGCCACGCTTCCAAGCTATGCACGGCCGTGACGCAGTCAATGAGTCCGCGGACCTCTTTCGCCTCTCATTTCCTTATGATGCGGCCAAGATGTATCTAAGTAATGGGAAATGCTTCTTCCTGTCGTATGTCGTATCCTTGGGGACTGTAAAATCTGGGCAGCCCTTGCTCGCCCGTGTGTTTCTGTATCGCGAGGATCCTCAACCACCACCATGTTAGTCCTCTGCTTTCTACGCATGTCCACCTCACTCATAATTGAGGTGAGGTTTGCCAGATGGATGCATTTCAACCAGGCAATCTGCGCTCAAGTGTTGATTGCAGCAATTTTGGAGTGATAGAGGCACAGACTTTGAGCAAGATAGTCAGTGCTATGCCAGGAGAGCTGAACAAATTCACCTCGGCTTTCGCATCGTTTGATGGACATTCGATGTTTTCTGAAGCAGTAGGTATACAACCAACTCAGAAAAGTTCAGGTGGGCACTGCATGGAGCGAGGCGTGGATGGCACCAATCTGAGATGCGCACAAAGGTACGGCACGAGGAATCGATAGCTAGCAAACAAGGATCATTCTCGGCTCAAGTCTTGCAATGCTCGCCGTTTCTACGTTTTGATACAGACATCATTTCTCATAGCAAGACAGAAAGTTCAGGATGGAGAGCCAGTCAAGGTTTCCGTATTATTAATTCAATCACCGCGCTCGATCGGGCGGTTACTGTTCAACAATCGTGCACCGTCATTCATGCCCAACAATGTACACCGAACCATATCCAATGGCACCCAGCAATCAAGAGATAGGAGTAGTAATAGACAATGAGGATTCCACGCGCATCAACATCGCGCGAAGATAGAGCACGGAGAGGGTCAAGGTCAGAGAAGTACGGTAGGACGAATGGCGCGGACTTTCGACGGGTACTAGACCAGGATCGCCGTGCCTAGTTGGATTCTGAAGGAGAGGCATATCGTATCTCTTTTCGATTATGGGTTTAGAAGTCGGGAAATAGGTGCCCGTGGCTATTCGGACACGTCAGAATGTGGTCTACAGTATAAGGAGGACTCTGCACGCACGGGTCATCTCCTGCCTGACCGTATGCCTCCGTCTCCTCCGGATACTTATCGAATTGGCTGGCATCGCCAACGCCAGCTCGCACAGGTGGCACGTAGGGTGCATCAATATCCTTCTTTTGTAGTCGGTCCCACGTTACTTCGGCGAACCAAGGGTGGTTCATAACGTCCTTGCTGCCGCCGTGCAAGTTGCCCAGTCGCTTGGTGAGGTCGGGTGTGATGAGCTTTTGCAGCAGGTCGTGGGCGTCAGGGTGGATGTAGGGTGGGTACTTGACTCTCGACTTGAGGATGTTTTCGTAGATCTTCATGGGGGAGCCACCGTCCCAGAAGGGAGTGAAGCCGCAGAGCATTTCGAAGATGAGGATGCCAAGTGACCACCTGGCGTTGTTAGTGCGACTCGAGCCGGGGGAGACATTGCTACTTACCAGTCGACGGACTTGTTGTAGCCTTTTGACGCGACGACCTCTGGCGCCAGGTAGTCAGGCGTACCGCACAGCGTCCATGTGATGTCGGGGACCTCTTTCGCGAAGCCAAAATCGGTGATCTTGAGATGGCCATGGCGATCCAGCAGCAGGTTCTCGGGTTTCAGGTCGCGGTAGATGATGTTATGCGAGTGCAGGTAGTCGAGTGCGAGCGTAACCTCTGCGGCATAGAACTTGGCGACGGGGTTGGGGAAGCGCTGGAGGAATTAGTATCAGATACATGATGCCAGGCACGGATGCGACATACCTGAGACTTTCGCAGCAGACTAAACAGCTCGCCTCCTTCGACAAAGTCCATGACCATGTAGAGGTTCTTGGAGTCCTGGAAGGTGCCCCACAGGGTGATGAGGAAGGGGTGCTTGACCTGCTGCAGCATGCGGCGCTCGTCGTTGGTGTGCTCGACCTGCTTCATCTTGACGACCTGGGCCTTCTTCAGCACCTTGACGGCATAGAAGCGCTGGTTGTGCTTGGACTGGACAAGGTGGACGCGGCCGAAGCTGCCGGTGCCGAGGGTGCGCTGGATGGTGAAGTCGGTCAGCGAGTACTTGCCCTTGGTGACGCGCGCCTGGTTGAGGGGCTGCGTCTGGAACTGGACGGCGCCGGCATGCTTAGGGGCGGCAGCGTGGGCGGGCGTGTTGCTGGGGTGTATCAGGTTCTGTATGCTGGGGACGTTGTGCGAGGGCGTCGGCGGCTGGTGTTGCTGCTGGTGGGCGTAGGCGGGGTTCATCGAGTCGGACGGCTTGGAGGGGGCGGCAGGCGCGGCCGGGGCCGTGGAGCTGGTGTTGCTCGCCGTGTTGGTCAGCGACTCGTTGGTCTTGGTCTTGTGCAGGTGGAAGGAGCCCGACTTGCGCGACGTCGTGGGCGTGATGGGCGAGTGGGCGTCCTTGACGGGCGACGTCGGCGAATCGAGGTCCTTGGAGCCGTTCGAGTCCTTGGTCCGCTTCTTCTTGAGGAAGCCCAGGGTAGGCATTGGAGGGGCGGCGCGACGAGTGCGGCGGCGCGGCCCTGCCTGTTCCTCGACGCAGTTCGGGCGATCTCAAGCACTGGGGCCAGGAATGCGCGGGGAGCTCGGGACGGGGGCGCGGCGCAGACGGCAGCAGGCGATGCGCTCAGGGGCAGTGGGTGTGCAGGTGCGCGGGCATCAGCAGAGCAGCGAGGAGTGTCGGCGGCGTGGGCGGGCGAGGCAGGCTTTGGGCTAGGTGATGGGTGGAGGTTGGGCTAGACAGTAGACGCTCGCTCGCGGGGAAGAAGCGTCGCAGCTACCACGCGCGGGCAGCATTGGCAACAACATGACGCCTGCGGCTCGTCAAAGAGCCATGTTTCACGCGCCTGCACTGGCACCGTGTTTGCGCCCGCAGTCAATGGCATGCATCATCCCTTCATTACATCGTGTCACGCCCGCCCGGGCTGCACGCGAAGCATCGCTGCTTGTTGCGTCATGCGTACCATGCACCGTGCCCAGGTGGTCGTCCCGGCTGCTATACCCAGCCTGCCTATACTGCGAATCGCTTCCTCGCGAACCCGTCAACGCCTAGCAATGCGCGCCAATACACATGCATCATCATACCCAACGCCGGCCCATCTACAAACACCCCAAAAGACTATTGCGCAAACATGACTCGAAAGCGCCCAAATGGCACACGTTGCATCGTCAAAAGAAAACCTGGCCGTTTCACAGCTCATCAGCCACCGCATGGGTTTCATCGGCCCCACCAGACACCACGATCGGCTGGTACGTCTCCAGGTCAAGGCCGCACACTTCCATGCGCCGTTGCCGGAATCTCTCGTACAGCTTGCTCCACGCCTCTTGCGCCTGTGCGTTCTGAGGCCGCAGCTTGGCGCGTTCAGAAAAAGGAATGTCGTACTCCGGTCCTGGTATCTCGGGATCCGACAGCCTCACGAACGTCGTCGCCTGCTCGAACGCCGTCGCGTTGAAGTCGTCGACGACATTGCGCAGGTTCTGCGATTCGTAGACCACGTTGCCCATGGACAGCGACCACTCCGAGATCAATGAGTCCGGCACCGTGAATGTCTTGCGGAACATGTTGAGGTCCGACGTCGGATTCGTCGTGCGCAGTGTCCTCAGCTGGTTGTAGCTCTGTTGTGACGGGTGTATCATCAGGAGTGATGTCGACATGTCGGTTCGTTCTGGCGTGGCGGGGTACGCTGCCATGGGCTCTGACTTGGAGAAAGCCAGCAGCGAGTCCAGAGCCGATGCGTCGAGCAGCACTCCCGGACCTTGCAGGTAGAGTAGCCGCTCGTAGTCTACCAGTGAGTACAGGCTTGCTAGTGAGTAGGAAGAGGGCAGTGTGTCTGGCTCTATTAGTAACTGCAGCGGGCAGCTTCCTGGGCTCAGCACTCACCGTCTGCGCCTTCCACAATAGGCTCCATGGGCATCAAAGTGACGCCATACCGCCTCGCCGCTGTCCGCAGCAGTCGCCGTGTAGTCGACATTTGCGGGCCGTATTTGTCGTCTTCAGACTCCACCAGCCACAGTTTGGGAAACATCAGTATCCTTTTGGCCGGGCTCTTCATCTTGTGTAGATCAGACAGCAGCATCACGGCACTGCAAAGTTCCACATGCTCTCTCACCACCTGCACATAGCCCAGGCGGCTCCAGTCCATCGTCTGCCCCGCAATATACTGCGCATATGTCTCGTCCACCTCCGGACGGCCGCCCATCGGTCTTGCCCATTTTACGTCCAATGTCGGAGGTTCTATCGGCTTGGGCGGGGGCAGAGGCTTGGGTAATCGGGGCTTTATGGCGGCTTGTAGAGAATGCACGTATCGTTGTTGTAATACCCAGCCCGAGAGGAAGAGGGCGAGTGTGAAGAGAAGAACTACCGGCGGCTGTCAGCGAATGCGAGTGCGTGCCCGTCGTGGGCCATGCGTACCAATGGCTGCCGACAGGATGACAGAGACCTGGCTCGAAGTAAGGAGAAGTCTCCCCATAGCTACAAGTAAACGCTGGATGCGAAGGGTATAAGAATGCTATGATGGTTCAAAAGTGTGCATGTAGAATAGTAAGAGCAGTTCGTGCAGGAGAGCGCATGCAGTGGGCGGGTGTGACGTGCCCCGTGGATCTAGATTCCGTAGGGCTGCATGTTGATCGCTGGTGTTGAGCAGGCAACTATCGATTGCTGGCAGCACCCCGGCTCAAATTATCGCAACCATCAACGCGAGCGTCCTCCGCAGCACCACCGATCCACCGAACCACCAAACCGCACAACACTGCACGCGCATTTCCGAAGACATTCAAGGGCCATTCCGATCTCAAACTAGCCACGGAACGAATTTTCGGTATCTCCACATGTCAAAACCGCAGTTCGACCGCGCAGACGCCAGCGCGCTCCTCGACGACCGAGGCTATCGCGGAGCCCTCATCAGGGGGCAGAACCCGGCGCTGCTCTTCGAAAAGGGTGTACGCGAGCGCATCACCGAGTCCTACTACTGGAAAGAGCAATGTTTCGGTCTGAACGCTGCGACCTTGTGCGACCGCGCGGCCGACCTCAAGTTCATCGGTGGCACGACTGGCATTACGGGCAAGCCTACACCATTCTTGTGCCTAGCATTCAAAATGCTGCAGTTGGTTCCGGACAAGGAGATTATTCTTGAATACCTCAACTTTCGCGACGACGAGGAAGATGGAGCACAGGACGGCGAGGCCAAGAAGGAGGAAAACGGCCACACCTCCGAGGACGAAGACCCAACCAAGAAGGCGCTCGATCTAAACGCTGCAGGCAAACTTGGCGACTTCAAATACCTGCGCTGCCTCGCTGCCTTCTACATTCGCCTTGCCTGGGAGCCCGTCGAAATTTACAAAACCCTCGAACCCCTCCTCACCGATTACCGCAAGATAAAACGACGCCTCAAGGATGCCTTTACCCTCACCTACGTCGACCAGTTCATCGATGACCTCCTCACAAAAGACCGCATGTGCGCGACGAGTCTGTGGAAGTTGCCGTCGCGGGCGAACTTGGAGGACTTGGATATGTTAGAGCCGAGGGAGAGTCCGTTGGGTGACGAAATCGATGAGCTGGATGAGGAACTAGACAGAAGGAGTGATGGAAGTGCGCGGAGCTACAGAAGCAGGAGCTATGACAGCAGGAGCAGGAGTCGGAGCTACGACAGTCGCAGTCGTAGTCGCAGCCGCAGCAGAAGTCGAAGTCGAAGCTACGATAGTCGTGATCGCGAGAGGAGTCGCAGCCCAGGCGAGCGGAGCCGGTCACGGAGTAGGACACATAGTAGGAGTGGGAGTCGCAGGCGCGATTAGAGTCGTAAGGACAGCGTGATGGTAGCATGTAGGGCCGCGCATCGGATTTAGCTTTATACCCATCCATGGATCTATGTAATGAAGCGTTCAGTTGCTATTTCCATCGTCGCACGAACACCACTCGATCCTGCGTTACGAGTCGCACACGATGCCACCACTCCCAAGGCCCATAGCTTTACATTTTGCCGCACCATGAGAGCGCTTCCGACCCCAGCCACAGCAAGATATACGCAACGCTCACCCACCACGTCGCTGCCACGCAGTCTCCCAACTGATACTGCACAAAGGCGCCCAAGTCAGCTGCAGGTTCCCTCCCTGTAATTTGAACCCTCATGAACTTTACGATCGAGAAAAGAGGAAGGAACACAACCCCTCCAGCAAACGAGAGCACAGTCCACGATGGAGCCCTGGACGCCTCCTCCTTGAACAGCCTTCGCCATGGGAGACAGGAGAATACGAAGCTGCTTATTATCCACCCCGCACCAGCGACAGTGAATACTGCGAATGGCGCCTGGATGCACTTCAAACATTGTTCTCCAATGCTATCTTCTAGCACGCGTCGAGGCCGGACTTGAAGTGCTCGGCAAAGCTTCCTGAGGAACAGCGGATAGCAAAGTCTTGCCAGCGCCACAGGGAGGGCAACACCAGCAACATTCGCCATTGAGAGCCCATGTTCAGAGCCCGATACCACGAAAGTCATTCTGGTGAGCAGTGAAAGTGCACTCAAGTTAACTCCAACATTGACTTGCTTGCTCATCCTCAGAGCACTGGGAAGAGATAGCACGATAGAGATCCACACCCTCTGAGGGTGAGCAAGCGCTCGAGACAAGATCCATCCCACGGCAACCGATATGTATGGCCAAACAGATGTCTGTCCCTCCTGTAAGGCAGGTTCTCCGAAGGCCAGAACGAGGTGTTCCAGTAACGGCAATGTGTCGTCACCTTCACCCTCTTTCTCTTTCTTGCCAAAAATTTCCGTGAGGTTGTAGATGTATAGCAAAAGGTGTATGACCACCAGTAAATTTTGAAGGTCTTTCTTTTGTCGTGAAGTTTGTCGTCGCACGAAGAAAGGGGAGCCAACTAGGATGATTGGGATTGCTGGCCCTGGGATGCGTAATCGACCGAGTGCCACTGAAGGGTAAAGAGATGGATCGTCGCTCGCCATGTTGGGGAGACTAGGAACACTGGAGCGCGAGTTCCTTCTATATTGCGCCTTTCCCAGGCAGCAGTCGGTCATGTGTCCGCGCGACTTCCGACGGTGTCCCGGTGGAGTATTCTTAAATGCCGGTTATCCCATGTATCAACAGTACTGCCGAGCTTTTTTCTTTCTACATAGGGAACTTGCGTCTAGGACAAAGGCGCACTCTATTCTTTCTGCGCCAAGGAGTTCAAATTGTTGCCGCCATTGCCGTCTTGGCCTGCCGAGGTATACCGAGCTTGACGGTCCGAGCGGCCCAACGGCTCAACAGTGCCAGCGATCCTGCGTTGCGAGTCGCACACGATGCCACTACCTAGGTACTTCCAAGGTACGTGCAAGGTTCGGTAAGCTCCGATAGCATCATACTAGGCCTGCACGTTGAAGCAACTTCGACACCACCGAGCGCAGCTGTCACCACTTGTACTCCATCATCACCATGCCTGACTCTGCACCCCAACCCTCCACCCTCCTTACTCTTCCTCGAGAATTGCGCGATTTGATATATTCGTACCTGCAAGCTGAAGGAGAATCTGACTGGTGTGAAACCAGTCTTTTCCCTACATTCTGTCTCCTGTACCGCGTCCACAACGCACCGACTCTCGCGCTACTTCATGCTCATCCTCGTCTGCGAGAAGAGTCTCTTGAAACCACTGAGAAACAAGGAGTCTTCGTCACAATCTGCGATCGGGACCGCCTACGACCCTGCCCTGTAGATACACCGCATCAATCACCACCCAGTCGCAAGCGTCGCACGCTACCTTTAGACACACTTTTCAGCCATTACATCAGGCACGTCGCGATTCTCGTCCCCAACAGCCATGAAGACCTGAATGAGTGGACGTGGAACACTACGCGGCGTTTTGTCTCTGTGCTGGCACAGAAAGCTCCATTTCTAGCAACCATCCGAATCGACTATCAATACCGCTCCCAAACCCTACTTCAACATCACAACAACACCTTTGCACGGTTTGATATGTCTCCATATATGCTCGTGCCACCGCCCTGTCTAGACACGTTGCAGCTCGTACAGCGGGTCGAAGGGTACCGTCTCGAGCAGGAACCGATTTCCGAAGATGAGCATCGGAGTCAGCGACGTCAGCGGCGTCATCACAGGTGTCTAAAATATGGCTGCTACTTGTTCAGCAAGGCTGGAGTAGACTACATGTCTCATCTTTGGAAGCCTGAAGATATTGATGGACGGCTGTGGGCCGAGCCGTATGATGTGGATGATTGGAGAACGCCACTACCGGCTTGGGTGGTCAATCACAAACTGAAGGACTGGAGGGAAAAGCGTGGCCACGAGGAAGCTGTGGCTTGGTTCTGAGATCGCTTCGACGATAAAAGAGTTCCACAAATTAACACGTGTGTTGTCATAATACCTACGAAATGCCTCCCTTTGCTCTTGAAACTCTTTCCTAGCCCATGTATTCTTCAACGCCCGACAGGCCTTGACTAACTGAGATCTTGAGATCTGCGCATCGCTCCGAGCATGCATTAGACTCCTGGTACTATCGGGTAAGATACTGTTCACATTGACGTCACCTCTCCATTCGGTTGTCACTCCCGTTCCGATTCCCTTTCACCGTTTCGGATGATTGAACAACTGTCCTTACATGGATTGCTATAAATCCAACAGTCTGGGCAACATATCGGGGATAAAGAGTCAGTCGCATCATCCCATCAATATGCCCCACATTCACCTTCCCGACAGGACGGCGCTTATGAAGAGCAACATCAACGACTTGGCGCTGCCCACCGGCAGTCGCGCGCTGGAACCATTGTCATCTGCGAATCGGATACATCGATGCGAGAAATTCTCAACGAATTTTCTAGAGCGGCATGTATTTGTCTCGGTGGGACATACTCCTCCAAAACCCACTACGAACCATTCCCATCGCAGTACATCAACACTGAGACATTCTAATCACCACATCAAGCACAGATATCTACAACAGCATGAAGTTATATGTACTCCTTTTCCAAGCTATCGCGGTGCAAGCTGCGATCCGCTTTGGTTGCAGCAGTGTTTCTATCCAGCGCCTGGATCCGCTAGTCGAGCCTGGCCGTGTACCATCGTCTCATGTTAGTGTTATGATCGTAGTGGTGACCATATACTAACACAACTGCAAAGGTACACCAGATCGTCGGTAGGTTGGACTTACGATATAGCCCCTGCTTCTCTCATTGACGTTCCCGCAGGCGGTAATGCTTTCAACGCTACGATGGCCGGTGATATTGGGGAACAGGGCAGCTGCACAACATGTGCTTACACTGAAGGTACGACATGCGTTCCTCACTCCAGTCTCTTTACAATCGCTGACATTGAATGTAGACTTTTCCAATTATTGGACCGCGGCGATGTACTTCAAACACCAAAACGGCTCGTACAAACGCGTTCCAATTTATCCAAACGCTCAGCTAGGTATCCCTCCGACAATGCCTACACTGGAGCACATTGAAAGGCTAAACCTTATCAGGATTCGATGGTCAAGATGCGGACCACATCAAGGGAGGTATGACGGTATACTACACCCAGAAAGACTTCGAAAGCTCAGACCTCGACAATCCCGTGAGAGCCTTTCCGCCGGTGAGTGATGCTATCCAGGCCCTCGGTGGAACAAGCGATTAATTGGGTCAAGGGCTTCCGCATGACCGTTGGTAACCCGTCAACGAACACACTCAACGGCACAAAGAAGGGCCTGGCATACACGTGCTTGCAAACCATCCTCACTAGAGGTTATGAGACTCCTGACTTCCCGAAAGAGCCCTGCCCTGCCGGTATCATGGCCATCCAGGTAAGTAATGGTCCTGAGCAAACATTATGATCAGGGTACTGACAGTATGGCAGTAAGTCTCCCTGCGATGTTAGCATGCTCCTGCAAACAAGTGTTACGCACTTGCCGCCAACGCGTATTTTCCCAAGAGAAACTCATTCCTTTTTCCACGAAACCTACTAATTGCGTCTTTCATGTGTAGCCATTTTCCCTCTTGCTGGAACGGAGTCGACCTTGACTCTCCCGACCGTCAGTAATCTCCCTGTGCGAACTGTCTGTGAGATAAAAACTGACTTCGTACGCCAATCTTTAGATCAATCCCACATGTTCTCGACCACACGGGGTGGCTTCCGTCCGGCGGACCCGTGTCCTGCATCGCATCCCATCAAGATGCCTCAACTAGCATACGAAACGATGTGGAATACAACTGCCTTCGCCGACATGTGGCCAACCGATGGTTCTCAGCCGTTTGTGTGGAGTTATTCCGATAGCAAGGGCTACGGTACTCATGCAGACTACGTGTTTGGGTGGAAGGGGGACAGCTTGCAGCGGGTGATGAACGATAGTTGCATGTTCCATAATTGTGGAAGTCCGGGTATTCAGGGTGTGCTGAAGACTCAGACTGTGGAGGAGATGAACGCGTGCGCGGTTGAGAGCTCCGTCGACGAAGAGGTGGATGGGTGGCTCGATCATCTGCCGGGGTACGAGATGGAAGTCTAGCTCGGTACCTGTTGATGGAGGTCTGGTCTTTTTCATATGTGGTGGCCAGGCTTAGAGCGGGGATGTCGCAGGCACGGCGCGTCTGGTTCGTGTTCACAGATTGCAGCACGTTCGCGGGTGCCCAGTGCCCCGGCGATCAGCTAAGATAACACGCTAGACTCGATTTGAGCAAGCTTGCACGCGTCTCCTGTCTCCGCATTGCGCCTTTCGCCATCGCTCCGACACTGTATTCATGCTGCCCGGCTTCATGATCTGCTATGTTCTGAGCCGTGACGAAGTCATAACGGTATCGAAGCGCCCGGCTAAATTTCTGTGGAAACATCCTCATCGCATACCATACCCCACATGCTCTTTTCCTTGATTAACAATGTGTCCACCCGACGATCATCACCTACGATTGGTGACAGGTACCTGTCATTTCGACCACCTGGGCATCGTCGTACCAAATGCTATCGGCAGATAACAAGTTCTAATCAAGGTAAATCGAAGCCTGATGTTTACGGCTGCTCGAAAGCACCACCCCTGGCTCGGTAGTGAACAGCCGGCACAGCAGTATCGGACATATTGACGAAGATGCACCCCAGTCTTGGCAGAGTATGTTTCTTGCTGGAAGAGGCGGGTCTGTCCTTGGCATACGCTGCTGTCAGTGAGCCCCAGGCGATCTCGCAACTAGCTGATTAACGAGAAACAGTCGCGAAGAATCACGCGCACTTGATACCAAGACTTCCATGCCGGGCCCCTACATGCAAGGTAGGTATATTATAGATACAGACCGCCGGGCCTGGTGGCCAGATACTTTCTGCTATCTACTCATCAGCTCCAGCATTATGGTCTCTTTTGCGGTCTTTGCCGCCGCCGTGCTAGGCAGTCTGCCTCTCGCTCTCACTGCACCGAGCGGTATCGCTTCACTTATCAATCATGACACAATTGGGAAGCAGCTCGAAGCCCGTCAAGGTGGCTACTACTCCTTTTGGTCCGAAGGAAGTGGCTCGTTCCGTTGCAACCAACAAGGTGGCGGAAAATACACGTGCAACTGGTCAGGACAGCCTGGTGGTGGCTTCGTCGCTGGTACAGGTTTCAAGCCTGGGGGTTCGAGGTAAGAGCAGCAACGGGTCCAAGTCGATTTCCAGAACTGTACTGATAGATCGTACTAGGACAGTCAAATACTCGGGTACATACGACGCCAAGGGCCCCGGTTACCTCGCCCTCTATGGCTGGACACGCAATCCCCTCATCGAATACTACATCATCGAGTCTTACGATATCCTTGCCCCAGGTGAGCCTTGGACGCGCAAAGGCAACTTCACTTTTGAAGAAGGCACCTACGATCTGTACACTAGCCAGCGCGTAAACAAACCGTCTATTGAGGGGACTCGTACCTTTACACAGTTCTGGTCGGTGAGAACAGAGAAAAGGGTTGGCGGTACAATCACTACGCAGAAGCATTTTGACGCGTGGAACAAGGCTGGGATGAGGTTGGGCGGTCACGACTATATGATTCTTTGTACGGAGGGATTTGCGAACGGGACGCTGCTGCCAAGTGGAAGTAGCAGCATCACTGTAACTTAGTTGGTGAGAGTTGGCTCATGACTAGCCTAAACTTGTGGAGCCGTAGAACGTGAACGCATTCTTATAGTCTCAATCGTGCGTGTGTCATCTCTCGGGATAGAGGGGAACCTGGATAATCCGCTTGGTCCATTTACGATGCCTCTATCCACGCTCGCAGGCCAGAAACGACTCCAATGATCCGTAGGAATTATTATGAATATAATGTCTAGATAGCTTGCTGTATCATCAGTGAGTATGCACACTGAATCACCAACCTATGCGACCGGCTACACTTGGTTGTGGGAGAAAGACCCTGGATTGCACTGTTCAGATCGCACGATATGCGGGGTCGTATCCAAAAGGGAACGAGTAGCAAAGTGGAGCCGGTTGCTGTCGCCAAATAGACATTTTGATCCTTCGTGCTCGGGGGTCGGCCGCAATGCGACACATCCACGTCAACCTAGGGGGAAAATGTGCACCGAGGAGCCTAACTTACCACCGACTTTTCTAGTTTGCTTGCGATATCCTGATGTAGTCTGCGGAGCAGTTCAATTTCTCCTCTTGCATGTGGTGACTCTCCGCGACCAGAGGTGTTGCCTAGCCCGTGGCCCATGCATAAAGTGGAAGGATGCGCGCCATGGAGTTACAAAGGTGCCGTTGAGGGGCGGCGCGACTAGCGAACGCACATGCCCTGGGCCACACCACCACCGATTGTGAGGGTTGAGAGAACCGCACTCGTAGTGTACATGATACCATGACTGTTTGCACGTACACAGTCACGAACATTTAAGCCTGCTGGATTTGGGAGAGAGATCCCATGCCGGGACGACTACGTATATACTGATGGCTCCGAGACGGTAGGCCGGCATCGAGGTATACGACGGGGCGTATTCGCCTGTCAGCAACCGCGCCCAAGGGGTAGATAAGAACAACGAAGACTCCTTCGACGCGCCCTCTTGCAAAGCCTCTTTCGCATCCAGAACACTCCTCTCATCCGCTCGTTTCTACGCGCATCATGGCAGGCACAGTCCTAATCACCGGCGCGAGCGGTTCGCTAGCTTTACCATCAGTCAAGTACCTGTTGGAAGCATACTCATCCTTCAACCTGGTTCTTACCGTCCGAGACGATTCAGAGAAAGATGCAAACACGCTAAAACTTCGTCAACTTGTAGCCCAGCACCCCAACGGACAGGTGTCTATAAGAAAGCTCGATCTCTCTTCGCTGGAAAACGTTCGGGTATTCAGCAGAGCGCTCTCTGTTGAGATTGAGGGCAAGCAGCTTCCACCCATCCGGTCGATTATCTGCAATGCGATGACATGGAATTTGTCCGGCGGGCCGAAGTATTCGAAAGACGGATACGAAATTTCGATTGCGGTCAACCATCTTGCACATTTTGCTTTGTGTTGCAGGCTCATGAGTGCCATGGACCCAATTCATGGCCGTATCGTCTTTTCGGGCAGCGGCGCACATCGACCGGAGGAAGCAAGCCTCGTCAAGGGATTTCCAACTCATGTCCCAAACGATTTGGAACTATTGGTTCATCCGGAACCTGACAAGGAAGGCGAAGAGTTGGGACGAGGCTTCCAAAGATATGCTGTGAGCAAGTTGGTCTCCATCATGGTGATGTACGAGCTCAATCGTCGCCTGAAAGCCGTAAGTCTCCCATTATCGGATACCCTGCTTGGCTTGTAGCCTGACTGTTTCGTTAGAAAAAAGATTTAAAGTCCATCCGCGCGGTTGCGGTGGATCCTCTGGATCTGATTACATCGCGGGCGTTCCACCAGCCGCACGTGCCGCGAACCATTCAGATCATGGCGACAGTTGTGACTTGGTTGTTGCCGTTGATTGGGTACTTTCAGCCTCGATTGGTGACCGTCGAGCAAGCTGCAACAGCCTTTGTAGATGTGGCAGTAGCCGACAAATTTGATGGGCAGGAGGGATACTTCGAAGGGAATAACAGAGTCGAGAGCTCACAGGACAGCTTAGATGTGGATATGCAACAAGCTTTGTGGTCCAGGAGCGTTCAATGGTGTGGGCTGGACAGAGAGGATGTGCCGATGGGGTTGTAAAGGAGAGGTTGAGTCAGGAACGTCTGTGGGCGCTCTTAGTGACAGTCGGCGCGATCGCCGGAAGCTGGGGAAGCCTCAACCGCAGCTCCACCAACCCCTCAAATCCCTCATCATCACTTAGCAACGATGCGCACCATGTGCGCGAAGTGATATACGCTCTACAACCGATTCTTATTTTTACCCTCCCATGACTGTACGCGTCCCCATGTCTCTAATATCGGCCCGCAGAGTTGAGCGCGTATAAGCACCACCCGAGACACCGCTACGACGCGTGGCCTCAGCCGAACCTCAGCGCCATGTCCAACGGGTACGCAGCCACTGCAACACGACATCATGCACCACGTCGATTGTGGCACAGTCGAGTGTCTAAACTTGACTTGCAGACGAACCGACCCACAAAGCCCGTCACGACACATTCACAGCCAAGCCCTCAGCTGCCGCTTGGCAAAGCTTGTTCCTTGATTTTGTGAGGGATTTATTGGCGCCACAAAGCTTAGTTGAGCTTAGCCACGCAATCAGTGCATGCACCTCGCAAGGGTTGGCATGCTCTAATGCAGATTGTTACGACAAACGTCTACGTGACACCAATCAGAAGCCATAAGACATGACCGTGAGCAAGCTGAGCCACCCCAGCCGCGGCCGTTTTCATCTGTCACACCGTCCAGACTTGCATCCTGGGTTTGCTCGAGAGATAGCGGCGTCGGTGAGGCGGTGCAGCAGGGCCGAGCGACCAGTTCCAGGCCTGACAACTGGCAGATGTTGAAACATGGACATGCATGCCTGAGGGTCAGGGCTTGATGTGTGCCACCGATGAGGTCGAATGACAAGGCGCGCAGGCCGCAATGACGGAAGCTACTATCCTGGAATTATCGAGCTGGGGAAGACTGTGACGCCTGCTGACCTGCGACCTAGTGATATAAAGAGTCGTGGACATCCGCGAAGGAGAACACTCACTTCCCACCACCTTTTCACTTCGCTGTCTACGAATTTCACCTATCGCACCCACACACAAATACAGCACGTTTGGCTCTTGGGCTCTCGATTCTCTTCACATCCAACAAGACTATTACAGTAAGTGATCCAGGCATGCTACCAGCTACGCAACTAACACTGCGTCCAGTATCACCTCCACACCAATACCATCAAGATGCCTGCCAGTGTCGCCTCTTCCATCTCGACCATCATCAAGCCCTCACCGGCCCCGAAGTGCGGCGAGTCGTGCGACTGCTGCGGTTGCGACGAGTCCTGCTGGTGCACCGTCATGTAGGGCGAGGAAACCTCATACTCGGTCACGATGTTACGATCGACTTCTTGAAGGACACCTAGGTGCTGTCAGCTAGCGAACATCGTCATAGGAAGGCTTGCTACAACCCGTTGAATATAGCCACTGTTTTCTCTTGGCTTGAGTCCAATTGCTGTGCTCTCGAATCACTACCTCATCGATTCCCATCTGACCTGCAACGCTATTGCCATACATCAAAACCTCGCTACATCAAGTTCCTACCTGTTAATACCTTTGTTGACCGCGAAGTAACAACATCCCGGACATGACTCGGTTGAGCACAGGTGTACGCAAAAGTGACGTAATTCCTCCATCACAAGAGCGTACCTGGTAAACGTTGCAACAATCAAAAGAGCCTCACGGGCTCTTCCAGTCTCACAGCATACGGCTCCACGCTTTTCAGACACCAGAATTCACCCCCCACTTACTCATACCACAAAAGCAAACATTCAAAATGCCCCCGTATGTCGCCCGCGATGCTATCCTGAGGACTTCGAAGACGCTTTCGCATCGGTTGAGACCTACTGTTCGCTTTGCTCACACACAGCGCAGGACTTTGCCTGACTTCTCGCTTGAGGGCAAGGTCGCTGTTGGTAGGTAGTCAAGAGAGCTTCTTGACAATATGACTAACTTGCTATAGTTACCGGGTATGAGACCACCAACCCGCGCTATCGGTGGCTACGATCCGTGTCGCAAACTTTTCCTGCGTAGAAGCATACATCATCTTCGAAAGTATTCACTTGTCAACATTTACTGGTGTGTATGCAGCAGAATGCGATACGAGTCCTAGCTACCCCTGGTGTCTCTCTCACGAGAAACCGAACACAGTTACAATCAAGCTAATGTGCCATACAGTGCTTCTCAAGGTCTTGGTCAGCAGATCCTCGCCGCCTTCGCCCTTTCCGGCGCCCATGGAGCCATTGTAGACCTTAAGCAAGAAGGCGCCGACAGGTCAGCCAGTGCCCTCATTGAAGAGGCTAAGAATCAGGGCCTCTCGCCCCCGAAGGTGCATGGCTACGAATGCGACACATCGTCCGAGGAAGGCGTCAAATCTACGTGGGAGAAGATTGTCAAAGACTTTGGGACCGTGGATATCCTCGTTACGAATGCTGGTATTACTGGTGGCGCACCAGCCGAGGACTACCCTTTCGAAGACTTCAAACGAATGATCGACGTCAATCTGACTGGAACCTTCCTCTTCTCTCGCACAGCAGGTAAATGGTGGATCGACAACAAGGTCGATGGCCGCATCCTGATCGTCTCGTCGATGTCCGGCTCCATCGTCAACCGCCCGCAGAAGCAGTCGGCATACAACGCTTCCAAAGCTGCATCGGCCCATCTCATGAAGTCACTGGCGTCAGAGTGGGCGCCGCACGGCATCCGCGTCAATGCACTGAGCCCGGGATATATCCAGACCGAGGCTAACGAGGGCGAAGAGATGGAGAAACTGAGCAAAGAGTGGTTGAAGGATATTCCCATGAAGAGGATCGCCAAGCCAGAGGAGTTCCGCGGAGCGGCCGTCTGGTTGGTCAGTGATGCTAGCAGCTACGT